TAATGAAGTTTTCGTATTTTGACAAAATTATAATGTTCTGACAACCAAACACAGCAACAGAGGTGCTGTTTCAAAAAAAAAAAAAAAAAAAATGGTAAAAATAATTTGCTTATGGATAATTCTTCCATCACATGACATCCCCCTAACTAATATTTCAAATTTGTCATCATTCTGAAAAGTTGAGAAATGAAGAACCACTGTTTTTATATAAATGTGCTTGTATTTAGAATGTATTTTGCTGAAGCAGTGTTAGCAGTGGAGTACATCCATAGTTATGGTATTGTCACAGAGACTTGAAACCAGACAAGTAAGCTTCTCTTTAAATTTGTTTTTCTCGCAAACATCCTTGTTGAAAACGAGACACAGTATCTGTAGTACCAAAGGCTCTTTTATGGATAGATATATCACTGATATATACATTGAAAGTTTCTTCGGAACCAAATCCCAAATTTTGAACTTTCAGAGCTATCTGAGTTTGAACTTTCATCACTGAAAACTGAAAACCCAACTGAATTTGCATATTCATCATTCACACAGTTTTTGCCAATGAATAAGTGACAAAATAGAAACCAGGCCCCCTATGCTATTGATTATATTATACTCATGCAAATTTTGTATAATCAGAGTGGCTTTTACTTTTATATAGACAAGTTAATTAGTGTTTTGTGAAAGTTCTGTATAATAAATGATGATTTTGCACTAAATGTTATGTGAGATTTTTTAATTCATGCAAATTATACAGAGTATATGCCTTTTTTTGTAAATGTTTTTTTTTTTTTCGAGTGTGTTTTACTTGTGGTAGAACTCTGGTATAATAACAACGTGAAACCAAGATAAACAGTGACACAAATACAAGACTGTACATATGCAAAAAATTATTTGTATTGCTAATTTTATCGTCTACTGGTCTGATCAGAAAAATTTATCAATATTATTTATTGAATTCCACAGCTTGCTGATTACATCCCTTGGGCATATCAAACTAACAGACTTTGGACTTTCAAAGATTGGACTAATGAGTTGTAAGTTGTTGACTTCAAGTCTGCATGAAGCACATAGTTGAAGCTTTTGATTTTAATACTACCGGTATTAGCCTAGAATCTACATATATGCTGCATCTCACTCGCTATATGGCATTCCATTTAAGCCTAGATATGATGCTAGTAATATCTCATTGTTTAAATATATATATATATACATAACCAATACCTAGAATTTATACTGCATTCCACTCGCTATATGGCATTCCATTTAAGCCTAGATATGATGCTAGTAATATCTCATTGTTTGAATATATATATATATATACATAACCAATACCTAGAATTTATACTGCATTCCACTCGCTATATGGCATTCCATTTAAGCCTAGATATGATGCTAGTAATATCTCATTGTTTGAATATATATATATATATACATAACCAATACCTAGAATTTATACTGCATTCCATTCGCTATATGGCATTCCATTTAAGCCTAGATATGATGCTAGTAATATCTCATTGTTTGAATATATATATATATATACATAACCAATACCTAGAATTTATACTGCATTCCACTCGCTATATGGCATTCCATTTAAGCCTAGATATGATGCTAGTAATATCTCATTGTTTGAATATATATATATATATATACATAACCAATACCTAGAATTTATACTGCATTCCATTCGCTATATGGCATTCCATTTAAGCCTAAATGTGATTCTAGTTATATCACATTGCTAATTATATATGTAGCCTTGAATCTAGGCTTTATTTCCACTCACTAATGCCTAGATTCGATGCTAATAATATCTCATTGTTCAAGTACATATAGTCTAGATTATGTGTTGCATTCCACTTGCTATATGCCATTCTTCAAATGCCTAGGTACAATACCTTGAGGTCAGATATTGACTGAATATTTGATTGGTTGATTGAACATGGCATCAACATAATAAGCTTGCAAGTGCAATTGTCAGGAATTCCCCACATGCAGTATCTGACCTGTCCAATGTTTTCTGAGATGCTTATGGCATTTTAGAGGGTGTGTAACATTTGCATATATTTGAATGGTTAATGAGATACAACTTCTACTACTGAACACCATAGCTGGGCATTAGTTAAGTGTTGTATAGGTCATGTGACAGCATTGCCAATTTAATCAGCAGAGTGCAACATAATTATGTTATCTTAGGGTCTGAATGAGCAGTTCTCTGAATGAAATTGTCCCTGCACACATGCAAGTGCACAGAACCTAAACAATTAAGTGTGTGATGACCGTTAGTGAGTGGATCGCCATATAGACTCTAGGCTATTGCACTTTATTAAATTTATTTAAAGTGAGTGTCGTCACCTACGCATGCGTCAGGTGGCCATATCGTGTCATTGTTTACAAACAAGCGTCTACTTATGAGCCTTTGCATTCTTAGCGTGTGTAGTTATCATCGTTGGGACTCAATTCCTGTGCGTGTACAGGTGACGACCCTCCCGCTTTAATTAGAGTCAATAAGTAAATTCCAAGATTTTAAGTTACGAATGAATTATTACAAAACATTTGTTGCAGTAACCACAAATATGTATGAACATGCTATTGAAAAAGACGCCAAACAATTCCAGGATAAACACATATGTGGAACACCGGAATACATCGCTCCAGAAGTGATTCTACACCAGGGTTATGGTAAACCAGTTGATTGGTGGTCCATGGGCATTATACTCTATGAATTTCTAGTTGGATGTGTGCCATTTTTTGGCGATACGCCAGAAGAATTATTTTCACAGGCTGTCAATGGTAAGGTTAATAGCTGAAAAATGATGTATTTGTAAACCACTTGGTTTTTGTGAGTATTGTAAGATTGTCCCAACTTTTTGACAGTCTGTTGACCTCACTATCAACAAAGTGGAGCAAATTTCAATTTGATCATTTACACTGCTCATTAGCATAATTTTTTGTGTTTACATTTCAGGCTATAATCTCTGATAAAATTATTATTACGAGCAGAAAAACGATTTATAATAATATATTTTATCTGGAGAATATGCAGTAATCACTCAGACAGTACTTGGGTTGCTTTGATCTCAGCTACACGTTGGTATTTTTACCGTAGTGCCTTTGTGACTTGTTATTGTCCTGTTTTCATATATGATTTTGCCATGTGTTCTTGTCTAGATACACTCGAATGGCCGGACGGTGAAGAAGCACCCCCTGAAGACTCTCAAGATTTAATCATGAATTTACTTGTGAGAAATCCTCTTGAAAGATTGGGTACTGGTGGAGCTTATGAAATAAAACAACATGATTTCTTCTCTGATTTGGACTGGAATTCTATGCTTCGGCAAAAAGCAGAGTTTGTTCCCAGCTTGAAGGTGACGATGACACAAGTTATTTTGACAGTAAGTAACAAACGTTTTGTCAACAGTTACAGTTTTGTTGTCAATATCAACAATTATCACACACCTACCTTACTGACAAAGCTGTGGAATAGAGATGTTAGCTGCAATCTGTGTGTCATTGTCATTTCTTGACCCGTGGTCAACAAATAACATGGGGGTCAAAAGATATTACATATTTTGAATCGAATACCGCAAAATATCATAAATAACTAAAATAATAGGACACCATAGATATTGCAGTTGTTCATATAATAATTTATAAGTTACTAAACGTTATGCTGCGTCATTTCTCAAATTTAAGGCAGTTGCTGACTGAAATTTGAAACTTCATGTATTTATTTATAGAGATTTATTGTGCCACACCCCAAACTCGGTGTAGCAAGGGTAAAAACTTTGAATGGTATCAATCACCACTGCACTGGGATATCTGTTATACGGTACTCGGGAACCTATATATCTTCACAGATCATTAATAACTTGTTTGGCTCTGAGAGTGATAGCACCATGAAATAAAATGTTAATTATTGTTATAGAAATAAACTCACACTCACACCTGTCAAAGTTGTGTTTCAGTCTTCCCCAAATCTCAGAGGAACAACATTTAATCAACAGACCACTAAGGCAAACAGTACAATGCTACCCACAATGCACTATTACAATGGGTATTGGAAAAGCTCAATGTAGGAAATACAAATGTATGACCTTGAAAAAGCACTTCCTGTAATTATCAAAAAAACGAAAGACCAGTCAAATGAGAACTGACCAATGAGGGCGCTCTCCGTC